ATATTTAAATACGTTTATATTTTAAATATATGTAGTTCAAATATATTTTTTTTATTTTAGTTGTATATAAGAGATAATCATCTTTCATTTCTTATTTCATCTCACCAACATGTTATTATGTAACTCAATTTCAAGATTTTTTACTTTTAGCGGGAGGATAACCATTAAATTATTTAGATCGTTGGCGTAATTCAGATTAAAAAAAATTTTTTGTACAGAATTGAGACGAAAAAAAAGCTAAGAACTCGACGGAAATGTACTTAAAAGGTTAGGGATGGAGTCCGATAGTGAAGTCAACTTATTGTGTCATTTGTTTTTGGTTTTTCAATCCTCTATCCTTATCCTTTTGATTTTTAATTAATATATTTTTTTATAATTAATTTGTATTAAAAATATAAATATAAATATTAATTAATTAATTAAAATCATTTAAGTGTATTTTTATAAATTTTTAATGTAAATTAATTAAGAAAACATCCATCTATTACATCCGTAAAAACAATGTGGCTAAATGCACTGGATACAAATCCTTTGTTTCTGGTCTGCTCATATCCTCTCATAAGGCGGCGGCGGCGGCTTCTCATATTGTTCCTCCGGTGCTCCGTTGATCTGGCAGCCGTCTTCTCCAACTCCCATTTTCAATCTTCTTCTTCTGGGGCAGATCTATCTTCCTTTCCAGCTCCCATCTCGCTTTAACCCAAGAGAGGCGACACGAACCTCTTCATCCTCCTGCATCCTATACTGAAAGGTTTTGATTTTGACTCATCCCATTCATATTTAATGTATGATTTTTCATAATTTCTTTTATCCATCGTTTTTATTTATTGGAATTTTCTAACGTTTATGGGAAAGGTTCAAGTCTCATGTAGTATCAATTTTTATACCAAATTCAATTAAAATAAAATATAAAATGTAAAATTGAAAGAAAATATAATATTCATATACAAAATTTGTAAAAAATATGAATTTGATGTAAAATTTATGTAAAATTAATTACGGATTATATAATTAATGAAGTTTAAGTGCACATATTATATAAATCTTTATTTTTTATTTTTTATGATTTTGGCTGCAGAGGCAATCATCTCATCTCTTATCCCACCTCATCTACATAACATAACATGCAATTTGAACTCAAAACCTCTTACTCATGATAAAAGGAGATAACCACTTAGCTACTTAAGTTTGTTGCTATTATATTTTCTTGTTAGATTAGTATATTTATGTAATTTTATTTGGTTTTGTTAGTTTGATATAGGGTCCCTTTTGTTTCCTGATTGTTTTTATAATTTCATCAGAGGATACATGTTTGAGAGAAAAAAAAAAAAAAAGTCTAGATTTTTATAATGCGGGAGTGAAAAGTAAATTATTGGACATTGGTACGGTTTGTTTTTGAATCCCTTTTGTTTCCTGAATGTTGCATTTTCTTGATTGCTAATTTGTAGGTATATGTTGTCTATTAATTAGAAGAATGACATTGGTTTGAGTTATTTTTCACATCTTCTGTGTATTTCTTCTGACTGAGTTTCATAAAGTGAATTAATTAGTGACATATCTTGCTGGACAATTGGAATCTTGTGACATGGAATCTGAATCTGTGGTGCACCAAGGTGGTTGCCATTGCAAAAGAGTGAGATGGCGTGTTCGAGCACCTAGTAGTGTTGTGGTTTGGAAATGTGATTGCTCTAACTGCTCCGTGAGGGGCAACATTCACTTCATTGTGCCTTCTGAAAGTTTTGAAGTTTTGGGAGATTCTAAAGAGTTCCTTACTACATACACTTTTGGCACTCACACGGCTAAGCACACTTTCTGCAAGGTTTGCGGCATAACTTCCTTCTATTTTCCACGATCAAATCCAGATGGGGTTGCAGTAACAGTCAAATGTGTGGACCCTGGAACACTTACCCATGTGGAGCTCAGGCATTATGATGGGAAGAACTGGGAAAGCTCCTATAATAAAACAGACATCGCTTCATTGTCCAAGGTGGTGTCCCAAAATAATTCCTCTCAGTAGGAGCTAATTTACAATTGTTGGTCATGGTGTGGTAGACACACTCTTTTGTGTGTCCGTTTTTATTGTCATGTTTACTTCTATCTTTAACGTGAGCATTAGAACTCTAGCATGTATGCAAAGTGTAGACTTTCTGGTTTCCACCAACCAAAATTAGGGATGTCAATTTCCGGCGGGGGATCCCAGATGGGGGCAAGAACGGGTTCATAGAAATGGAAAAAATATACTCCATTTCTAAACCCCACTTCCATTAAACCCAATCTATTTTCTATTTGTTCATTCCTAACTCGACTCCATGTTCTATTTGTCATTGTTATTTCTAGTCCATTTCAAAAGCCCACTTCTCTTGCACCAAACCCAAAACCTAACTACCTGAATACACGCAGTCTCGTTTGTTTGATACCATACTTGGATGACTTGTGGTTGATATTTTGTCTAGGCCACTAGTTATTATATGTGTGGAGTAGTGCTAACTACTACACTCGGTAGTCTGAGTGCAT